ACATCTCATTGTTTTGATTTGCATTTCCCTGATGATAAGTGATGTTGAGCATCTTTTCATGTGTCTGTTGGTCATCTGGATATCTTCTTTGAAGAAATGTCTGTTCATGTCTTCTTCCTGTTTTTTAATTGGGTTTTTTTTTGGTGTTGAGTTGTAGAGGTTCTTTATATATTTTGCATACTAACCCCTTATTGGATATGTCATTTGCAAATATCTTCTCCTATTCAGTAGGTTGTCTTTTTGTTGATTTTTTTCCTTTGCTCTGCAGATGCTTTTTATTTATTTTTAAATTTTTAGAAGATTTTATTTTTTTATTTGTCAAAAAGAGCATGCGCATGTGCGCCAGCACAAGTGGGGAGAGTGGCAGGCAGAGGGGGAAGCGGGCTCCCTGCTGTGCAAGGAGGCTGATGCGGGACTCAATCCCAGGACCCTGGGATCATGATCTGAGCTGAAGGCAGACGCTTAACCAACTGAGCCACCCAGGCGTCTCAAAACTTTTTATTTTTAAAAAAATATTTAATTTTTTAAGGTAAGTTCTTTGAACTCATGACCCTGAGGTAAAGAGTCCCATGCTCTATCAACTGAGCCAGCCAGGTGCCCTAGAAGTTTTTATTTTGACGTTGTCCCAGTAGTTTATTTTTTCTGCAATTCTTAATAGTTTTACTAGTTTAGAGATTCTCTTAGATTTTTTTATGTAACTAGTTTCCACATCTTTGAAAATAATAGTAGTTTTTAACTCTTTCCAATCTTTATGCTTTATTTTTTTAGCATTTGAAGTTTTATACATATATTTTTATTAACAGGCTTTATTTTTTACAGCAGTTGTGGATTTATAGAAATGCTGAACAGGGTGCCTGTGTGGCTCAGTTGGTTAAGCATCTGCCTTCGGCTCAGGTCGTGATCTCGGTGCTGGGATCAAGTGCCCATCAGGCTCTCTGCTCAGCAGGGAGTCTGCTTCTTCCTCTCCCATTCCCCCTGCTTATGCTCGCTCTCTCTGTCAAAAAAGTAAATAAAATCTTAAAAAAAAACAAAACCAAAAAAATACTGAACAGATGCTACAGGGTTTCCTTATTACCTCTTTTTCACCCCCTCCCTATGGTTGTCCCTCTTATTAACATCATACATTAGTATAGTACATTTGTTATAATTAATGAAGAAATATTGATGTTATTATGAACTTAAAAGTTAATGTTTTATTATATTTTATTAACTACAAATAAAATGAAAAAGTCATGGTTTTTTCAAGTTTCCTTAGTGTTTACTTCATGCCTTTTTTGTGTCTCATGATCTCATCCAGGACATTGTGTTACATTTAGTTGTCATTTCTTGGCCGGTCATTTTCTCAGACTTTGCTTGTTTTTGCTGCTCCTTTATTTTAAAAAGTTAATTGCATAAAACATCCAATGTAATTTTTAATACTTGGAGTGAAAGTGGGAACCTTTTTTTTTTTATCCTGACCATAAGGGGAATACTTCCTAAATCCTAAAGTATGATGTTTGCTATAGATTTTGGTAGGTACTTTATCAGATTAAGGAAATTCTATTTTCTTGTCTAAGAATTTTTGTCATGAAAAAGTAAGGGATTTTATCAAGGCTTTCTGCATCCATTAGGCCACAAAATTTTTCTTTAATCTGTGTATTGTGTTGAATTACATTAATAGATTTTCTGATATTAAACTCTCCTTGCATTTAAAGCACAACTGGTTATGATATATGGCCATTTACATACCAATATACATGCATATGCACACACATACATATCTATTTACATAGTAACATTATAAGACATATATTATGGATAAATAATATGTGATGGATTTAGTTTAGTAATCTCTTTAGGATTTTTCCATTTATATTCATGATGAGATTGCATATAATTATCTAGGACTTTTTGTTTTCCTGGAGCTGTGTGTGTATGGTTTTTTTTTGTTGTTGTTGTTGTTTTTTTTAAATAAACTCTGCCCCCAATGTGGGGCTCAAACTCATGGCCCTGAGATCAAGAGTATGTTCTACTGACTGAGCCAGCTAGGTGCCCCTCTGTTTTTTCTTTTTTCTTTTGGTACATATGTATAATAGATTTTTCTTTAGCTCTCTTAATATTTTTAATTAGGCTTTGGTTGGTCTTTGTCTTTCTGCTTTGAGCCTGTAGGATATTCATGAAATATGTCTTCTGAAAATATCTACTCTTGTCTCTCTCTCTCTCTTTTTTTTTTAAAGAATGTATTTATTTTTTTGTCACAGAGGGAGAGCACAAGCAGGGGGAGAGGCAAGCAGAGGGAGAAGCAGGCTCCCCACTGAGCAAGGAATCCAGTGTGGACCTGATCCCAGGATCCTGGGATCATGACCCAAGCCAAAGGCAGATGACTAACCAACTGAGCCACCCAGGCATCCCTCTACTCTCATCTTTTAAATTTGAATTCTTCTAGTTTAATATTTAAAGTTATAGAATTTTGCGGGTTCCTGGCTGACTCAGTCAGTAGAGCGTGTGACTCTTAATCTCAGGGTTGTGAGTTCAAGCCGCATGTTGGGTGTGGAGCCTACTTAAAAAAAATTAAGTTTCAGAATTTTTTCACTGTTGGATCTGCGTACTGCCTACAAAGGTCATCATCATTTGTAATGGTTACTATTTATAACTAAGTCCGTTTTTTACTTTGGAGTGGAAGGTTGCTTAACCTTCAAGAACTTTTTGAGCATTTTTATGATTGGCAAATTTACTGTTACTATTGTTTAAGTTGTGCTTGACTTCACATTATTCCCTACTGGAATTAGTAATAGCAGTATCTACCTCTGATATTGGCATCATAGTTTATTGCTGGTAAAGTACTTCACATGTAAAAGTATATTTACATACAAAAGTGTTTTGTATTTTGTATTCAACTACTTGAAATGCCCTTTACCATTAATACTCCTATGTAAGCCACCATAAACCTTTGTCTGGATTATTGCAGTAATTAGTCTTTCCTTCTTGTTCCCTGTAGTTCACCTCACACAGCAGCCAGAAAGACTTTTAAAGTGTAATCAGGGGGCACCTGGGTGGCTCAGTCATTGGGCATCTGCCTTCGGTTCAGGTCATGATCCCAGGGTCCTGGGATCAAGCTCTGCATCGGGCTCCCTGCTTGGCGGGGAGCCTGCTTCTCCCTCTCCCACTTCCCCTGCTTGTGTTCCCTCTCTAGCCTCTCTCTCTCTCGTCAAAAAAAAAAAAAAAAAGTGTATTCAAGTCATAACCCTTTTGTGTTTAAAATTATAAATGGCTTCCCAATACACTAGAATAAAATCCAAGCTCTTTACCATGATATACAAACTCTGTCAAGGCCTTTGTACATAATGGGTACTCAAGAACTATCTGCTGAAATTGCACTACTGGGTATTTACCCCAAAGATACAAATGTAGTGATCCAAAGGGGTGCATTCACCCCAGTGTTTATAGCAGCAGTGTCCACAATAGCCAAACTATGGGAAGAGCCAAGATGTCCATCAACAGATGAATGGATAAAGATGTGGTGTATATATATATACACAATGGAACATTGTGCAGCCATCAAAAAAAACCCCACGAAATCTTGCCATTTGCAACGACGTGGATGGAACTAGAGGGTATTATGCTAAGCGATTTAAGTCAATCAGAGAAAGACATGTATCATATGACCTCACTGATATGAGGAATTCTTAATCTCAGGAAACAAACTGAGGGTTGCTGGAGTGATGGGGGGGGGGAGGGATGGGGTGGCTGGGTGATAGGCATTGGGAAGGGTATGTGCTATGGTGAGTGCTGTGAATTGTGTAAGACTGATGAATCACAGACCTGTACCTCTGAAACAAATAATACATGTTAAAAAAAAAAAGTAGGAAGGGAAAAATGAAGGGGGGGAAATTGGAGGGAGAGACGAACCATGAGAGACTATGGACTCTGAGAAACAAACTGAGGGTTCTAGAGGGGAGGGGGGTGGGGGGATGGGTTAGCCTGGTGATGGGTATTAAAGAGGGCATGTATTGAATGGAGCACTGGGTGTTATACGCAAACAATGAATCATGGAACACTACATCAAAAAAATAAATAGAGGAAAAAAAAAAAGAACTATCTCCTGAATGAGTGACTCATTCATTCTCAGTGTTAGAGAGCTTTGTCTTGCCCAGTACAGCAGAGCATAATAATAAGTGGCAGAGTCAGGATGAGAACTCCAGATCTCATATTTGCCAATTGCTGGACCAAATTATGTCTTTTGAATCCTCCAATAGGCTCTGATCAAACTATTCTGTTTTTTGAACTTGTACCTATGTTAACTTGTTTATGCCTTTCTCTTCTTGTTTTGCCTTTGCAGATCTTGCCCATCTTCAAGACTTGCATTCAGTTCTCCCTTTTATAGAACTTCCTCTTCTTTTTTTTTTTTAATGGCTTCAGTAATATGTATTTGTATTTTTGGTTGTGATGGTGGTGTTGGGTTGGGGAGGCTAGAATATAAGTGGGAAGGGGACTCTAGTAGGTATTAGATGTCGTATTACATGCTTAAAATAAGTAATTTCACTTCCCACATGACCTTGTGAGGGAAGAAGCACTGTTACGTTTTTAAAGATGAGAAAACTCCATTTCAGAGAGGTTTTCAGTTCCATCACCCAAATGGGGAAAATCTTTAAGTTATCCATGAGAAAACTCAGAAGAATGAGTTTCCTAAGCCCTCTAAGGCTCCTCTAAACTTTCTACAGCTGCCTGGCAGAGCTGGTACATATCCAGGTTCCCTTGGTCAAAACAGTCTCTCTGCTGTCCTGCTTTAGCCTGTTATATTGGGCAAGGGCCATATTTCATAGTCTGGCCTATATGTCAGGATCATACAGGGAAATCAGCAGGATGACTTGTTTCTGTTCAATAAAAATTTAACTCTAGTCAAACGCTAAACCTTTTTACAAGTAGCTGTGATTGTTTTTTTCCCCTTTGTATTTGGGCCTCTTATCTGTGTTTTTGTTTTTTGTTTTTTGTTTTTTTCTCTTTCTCCTTTCTGTTTCTAGTATTCGATTCAAGAAGAAAGCCAGAGGAAGCCATTGCCCACTGCTGCCGCCCAGTGTTGTAAGTGAGAAACTTGTCTCTGAATGTCAATCACAGCTTTCTGTCAGTTCTCTAAACATGGCTTTTTTTGAGTTGGGGAGGGGGGAGATGTAAACAAAAGATATTCTGGAAGACACCTATTCAGGCCCATATCTCCAGTGGCTATCTAACCATTAGCTTTATGAAGAGTCCTTTTGGTTTTGTGTGGCTGTAGGCTGGGCAGTGGTGCTCATCTTTTATCTCCATTTGCAAGCTTTTACCATGGAGGAGTGATTTTTCCCATTTTATCCTGTTTACCTGTTACTGTTCTTTAAAGCTCAGTTTAAATGTCATCACCCATGGGAAATCTTCTTGCTGTTTCCTCCTTCCCCCATGTCTAGCTTAGGTGTCTCCTCTGCTTCCATAGTACCCTATGCATATGTTCATCATATAACTCGTTATATATTATAATCTATTAATATTTCTTTGACAAGAACACAGTTTTTATAGGCATAGACATTCTCCTATTTTATATTTCTAGACTCTTTCTCAATACCTGATACATAGTATAGTAAGCCTCAATGAAGTTTGATAAATGATTGAGTGAATTTGTCATTTCTCTTGAGATTAATTTATCTAGACTACAAAGATTCATTCTTGAAATGAGCTGTGTATTGTTGGTATAGTTCTACCTTCTCAGTTTCTCTCAAAATAGCCTGAGGAGACACTAAAGGACTGACTTGGAGTCTATTGTCTTTCACTTTTTCAATGGGGGGAGGGCGGGAGTGTGTGTGTGTGTGTGTGTGTGTGTGTGTGTGTGTAGGACTGACTTGGAGTCTATTGTCTTTCACTTTTTCAATGGGGGTGTGTGTGTGTGTGTGTGTTTTGTGCTTCTTTTGTGTTACTGTAGTTTTTCTGAACCAAATGCCAAACTCTTAACCACTGGTGGTTGAAAGTGGTAGTTGTACTAGTTATTTTAGCAATAGTGGTAATAATAAGAACCATAGTAACTAACATATTTTGAGGTCTTACAGTATGCCAGATGCTGCTATCAGAACTAAAATGTACTAATTTATTCTTCACAATAACCCTAAGACATAGTTTTTCCTGTTGTCCCATTTTTCAGATGAGGAAACTGAGGCATAAAGAGATTGAGTAATTTGCCACAAATCACACAGGTAGTAGGTGGTGAAGTAAATAATCTAACACAGACAACCTGATTCCATAGCCTGTGCTTGGAACCATTATAACCTTCATAGTTTCTGATAAGGAAAACTTCCATTCAAGGTTTGTAAATCCATTGGTTGTCTTCCATATTATAGGCTGCTTTCCTGATAAAAGGTAAGACCAATGGCAGACCTCAACATTTTTTCTTTCTTTAAAGAAAGTTTGCTATTTTTCATATGACTTATTGCTAACTTTTTTTTTCCCATATAGGACTTTGAATTTATCAAACATTTAGAGTCATAGGAGACCAGAAGAATCTGAATTGAAAACCAGGTTGTGAATTAAAGTCTATAGGTCCTTTCCAGAACTCATAGTAATGAGCTAATTTTGACCTTTTAAATCTTTAAAAAAAATTTTTTTTGAGAGAGTGTGTGTGTTTGAGGGGAAGGGGGAGGGGCTGAGGGGGAGAGAAAGAGATTTTTTTTTAAAGATTTTATTTATTTATTTGACAGAGACAGAGATAGCAAGAGCAGGAACACAAGCAGCAGGAGTGCAAGAGGGAGAAGCAGGCTTCCCGCTGACAGGCAGCCCGATGTGGGGCTCGATCCCAGGACCCTGGGATCATGACCTGAGCCGAAGGCAGACGCTTAATGACTGAGCCACTCAGGCGCCTCGAGAGAGATTCTTAAGCAGGCTCCATGACCAGGACAGAGCTCCATGTGGGGCTTGATCTCATAACCCTGCGATCATGACCTGAGCTGAAATCAAGTCAGTTGCTTAACCGACTGAGCCACCCAGGCGCCCCTGACCTTTTTAATCTTTTTTTTTTGACAGATTGGGAGCACAAGCAGGGGGAGAGGGAGAAGCAGGCTCCCCACTGAACAGGGAGCCCGACGTGGGGCTTGATCCCAGGACCCTGGGATCATGACCTGAGCCGAAGGCAGATGCCCAATGATTGAGCCACCCAGGCACCTCTGACCTTTTTAATCTTTTAAACCTTTCTCCAGGACTGCTAATGCGATGTGAAATGGAGTGATTGAAGTTTCACTTCCCATTCCTTCCTGCACCCATTTGATGAAGTGCAGTTGAAGTGATTAGAGATCAAATGCCAAGAGAGCTGGTGGAAATAAAAGGCCATAAATAATGAACAGGTTTGGGGCGCCTGGGTGGCTTAGTCAGTTAAGCGTCTGCCTTCAGCTCAGGTCCTGATCCCAGGGTCCTGGGATCAAGTCCTGTATCAGACTCCTTGCTCAGCAGGCTCAAGCCCGCTTCTCCCTCTGCCTGCTTTTCCAGTCTGCCTGCTTCTCCTTCTGCCTGCCACTCCCCCTGCTTGTGCTTGCTCTTTCTCTCTGACAAATAAAAAATAAATGAAATCTTAAAAAAAAAAAAAAATCAAGTTTAATAATTTTCAAATGTTTATTGGCTAATATATTTTTCTGTGAATAGTCTGTTCCTATCTTTTGATTCTTCCCTCATAGATTATTTTGAAAAATTTAAAACAAAAGTTGAAAGCACAGTATAATAAGCACCCATTTACCCTTTACTAGATTCAGTGGGAGACATTTTGCCACATTTGCTCTCACTTGTCCCCACCTCTCTCTCATGTCTTTATCTCTTTCTCTGTATATACATACACAAATTTTCTGAATCATTTTGATATAATCTTCAGACTTCATGACACATCAGCATGTATCTCCTTACAGCTAGGACAGTCTACATAACCACACTACCGTGATCAGAATTGAGAAGTTTAACACTGACACAGTAATATTATCTAATAAAAAGTGCATATTAAGAATTCCCCAGTTGTCCCCCAAATATTTTTATAGCTCTTTTTTCCTCCACTGTATGATCCAGTCAGGAATCACACATTTTATTTGGTTGTCCTGACTTTTTAATATACTTTAATAATCATAAAAAAATCCTTGCCTTTTTGGTCATTTATGACAGTGGTATATTTTTTTTTCCAATTAGAAAATCATTGGACGGGTGCCTGGGTGGCTCAGTCATTAAGCTTCTGCCTTAGGCTCAGATCATGATCCCAGGGTCCTGGGATCGAGCCCTGCATCAGGCTCCCTGCTCGGCAGGAAGCCTGCTTCTCCCTCTCCCACTCCGCCTGCTTGTGTTCCCTCTCGCTGTGTTTCTCTTTGTCAAATAAATAAATAAAAAATCTTTAAAAAGAAAAAAAATCATTTAACAGTTCAATTTTTGGGACTTTAAGTAATCAAAAAGCAGATAAACATTTGTTTATAAAGATGTTGATTACAGAATAATTAAATAACAAAGTTTAAAAATGATATAGTTAATAGTAAATGATAATAATCACAAGACTGAATATTATGCATTAATTTAAAATTATGCTCTGAGGGGCGCCTGGGTGGCTCAGTTGGTTAAGCGACTGCCTTTGGCTCAGGTCGTGATCCTGGAGTCCCGGGATCGAGTCCCACATCGGGCTCCCTGCTGAGCAGGGAGTCTGCTTCTCCCTCTGACCCTCTTCCCTCTTGTGCTATCTCTCATTCTCTCTCAAATAAATAAATAAAATCTTTTTTAAAAAAATAAATAAAATTATGCTCTGAATAATAAAAGGGACTGTTTATGAAATTTTAAAGGGGCCCCTGGGTGGGTCAGTTGGTTAAGCATCCCACTCTTGATTTCAGCTCAGGTCATGATCTCAGGGTAGTGAGATCGAGCCTGCTTGGGATTCTTTCCCTCTCCCTCAACCCCTCCCCACTTACTCTCTCTCAAAATAAAATCTTAAAAAAAAAACAACTTTACATTAAAAAGTATGTAAAACTGGGGCAGCTGGCTGGCTTAGAGGAACGTCAGAGGACTCTTGATCTTGGGGTTGTAAATTGAAGCCCCATATTGGGTATAGAGATTATTTAAAAATAAAATCTTTTAAAAAGTAAACTTTCTGTATATGTGTGTATATATGCCAGTTTCAACTAATAGGGACAAAGAAGAAAGGAATGAAGGCTCTTGGACTTCTTGGATTCTGCAGGATCAGACCATAGCATTATTTGGCTGTGAACATGCGCTTTTCTTGAAGAAAGGGAGGAATGACCTGGAAGGTGATTCAGAGAATATCAGGGCTGCCACTCCCAGCACAGGCCCCATGGGATGCTGTTTCCTTCTGTTTCAGAGGGAGGCCACTGAAAAGAGCCATGGGGGCAGAGCTATACTGGAGAGCTGTGGGGGTGATGGTGCTTACCCCAGTGGGTCTGGAATTGGGACATCAACCAAAGAGAATTATTCTACAGCCTTAATATCTAATGTAACTTGCCTTGCTAGGTTTGGACTTGCTTGGGACCTGTCAGCCCTTCCTTCTTTTTCTTTCTTGTAGAATGGGAATCTCTCTTTTATGCCTGTCCCTCCCATCATTGTATTTTGGGAGTCTGTAACTTGTTTGGTTTCACAGGTTCACAGCTGGAGAGGAATTTTGCCTCAGGATGAATCACACCTGGAGTCTCACTCATATCTAATTAGTTGCTATTTAAGTGAGACTTTAGGGTTGATCTAGATTTAAGACTTGTGGAGCTGATGGGATGGAAAAAATGTATTTTGCATGTGATAAAGACATGAATTTTTAGGGGGCCAGAGGTGGAATGCTGTGGGCTGAATTGTGTTCCCCTAAAATTCATATGTTGAAGCCCTAACCCCTAATGTGATTGTATTTGGAGAGAGAACCTGTGAGGAGGTGTTAAAAGTTAAATGAAGTCATGGGGGGCCCTAATCTACTAGGACTGGTGCCCTTTTAAAAAGAGGAAGAGACACCAGAGCTCTCTCTACCACGTGAGGACACAGCAGGAAGGTTGCCACTTGCAAGGTAGGAGAGCTGTCACTCGAAATTGAACCCTGCCAGAACCTTGATCTTT